CCATCGACATTGGCATTTTGGAGATGATAGCAAAGCCCACTCCTAGTTCGTTCATGCATGGTTCATCAACACCTTCTGTACCGCTCATGTCTACACCATTCCTACCATTACTAGCATTGGCCATATCATCATCCTTGCCCTGGTTCTCCTATTGTAAAAATGATAGTAGAGCTCATTCCTTTTGTACCTCGTCTATATCATCAAGGTAAGAGGTCTAGAGAGAGGTCGATGGATATGGATTGATGTATTTATTACTATATACTGATACTGATTTTATATTTAGTTAATTATGTTTAAATACTTATTTTATATGTAGTTATGTTTATGTTTAGTTTATATTTATAAAATATTCTTTAGATTATTATTTGTTCAATGTGACACATCTAATTAGATGTTTAAAACATAGGTTTTCGACATGCTTTTACGTGAAAACAGAGTAAAAGAGAGAAGTTATTGTAAAGAATCAAAAACATAAATCCATTTGTCTTTTTCCTTTATATATATAAAGCGTGAAAACATAGAGTAAATGGGTAAATCTTCCATATTTTAAAAAAATTCCCTCAATTTAATAATTGTTCATTGGATAACATGTTTATAATATAAAGCATAAACAAATATAAACCATAAAAATTAATATAAAATGTTTAGAATCATTACAAAAAATAATCAATCAATGTCTATTTTTTTTAAGTGGCCATATCAGAATTTAAACTAAACAATAAATTGAAATCCTTAATGTGGGGTACATATGAAATCTCCCACCTTTGAGCACAATTATACTGAATCTTACACCAATTGCATGCAATAAGAGGTATTGGTGCGAATGGCTTCAAAAACACCTGCATAATATAGAAACATTAACTATGTAATGTCATTAAAACCTACATAAAATAAAAATGATAAACATAAATAGTAATTGACAACACTAATTAACAATACCTACACATATCTAATCGTAATTAATCTATGCTTCAATGGTGCAGGTGGTACAAATCTAGTAAGGAGATATGTTAGGCACTATTTTAAACTGATGTAGATTAGCATGACGTTATATCATGAGGCAATCAAATGACCCATATCCACTTATCGTATGATGCAAAAGTTTTGAAACACGATAAAGTTTGTAACAACCCTTCAATACGCTCCATAAATCCATACAAAGTCAGATAATTGCCTCGAAATCAATTAAGCTTTTCAATTAAATCTCGTCACACCTGTACTCGACCATCTAATCGCAATCCAAGCAACCCTGTAATAGCATGAAACCCATAATGTCCATCCATCTCAACATCAATGATACTCTGTATATACATATGTAACTCCACCGGTAAATTATTCAAATATCACATTTTTTGTTTACTGTAAAGTTGGTGAATAGAAATTTTACTAATTTGTTTTGTTAGTTTCTTTGAGTTTGTAGTACTTGGTCATGATATACTATCATAAGTTGATAATATAATCTTCTAGTGTGACAGGTTGCTTCATGTAGATGTATATACTTTTAAAGCTCTATGAGCTTTTGGCTTAACCATCTCTAATGGTAAAATATAGATAGTTATGAATGGATAACAAAGTTCTCGTAACTTTTTTTTCATGGCTAACTTATCAAACTCATCACATTCATTGAAGCATTTGATGATTCGAACGATCTTGGACTAGATGGTTAACTCATCAAATATTGCATTATCTTCACTTTTTATTAAATCCAACTTCTTTCAATGTAAATGCACTTCAGATAAAGAAATTAGACTTTCCATTCTTATATGCTTTGCAACTTTATGAGCACAAGGTAATCCATGCATGTTTTTTATCATACAACCATAAGCATGTACATTAATCTTAATATGATTAGCTCGTTTGACCTCTATCAATATCATATTTAGTGCATTTTTAGATACCAAATCTCATAACTCTTTAAATAATGAAGGCTTAAAATTATGTCCACAACGATAAGACTTCACTTAAATGAAGCCTTGAGTTCTGTATGTTTGAACTCAATTAGTTCATTTACTATCTTCCATGATAATTTGAAATCCCATTGTGATGATCCAAGGTGTCTCTTTAATTTCAAATGTGCACTCTCTACCCTAAAAGAAATAATAAAGGTATATTAATGATTTGTTATCAAACATATTTGTTATAACATTGTCAAAGTGCATTATTTTATCTGTTTAAGTCATAATAAATCTATCCTTATATTTTGCTAACTACTGATCTTTCACATACTTTAATACACCTAGATAAGTTTGGTAATCAATTTTTAATAGGCTCAAATGTCTTTCATACTCATCATAGGTAGATGAATACAATAATCTTGAAAGTGATGTGAATTTTCGATGATGGGATTCTAGAGAAGTCTAAGTAGTGATTTTTAATAAATCCCTAGGTGAGAAAATTTTTTTAAATTATTGTTAAAGTATTAGGATATTTAGGACAATTTTCAAGAAAAAATTATCATTTACTTTTCCTCATTAAAAAAAAAATTCTTACAATGTAATAATGTTATAAATAAATTCATACGCATCATATTACATCCATACACACCAATTCTATAAATAAATGAAATCTCTGAGGACGAGATCTTAAAAAAGTTTGAGTAGTGATTTTTTTAAAGAATTTTTAAGTGAGAAAATTTATCTAAGATGTCGTTAATATACTGAGCATTTAGTATAGTTTTTTATAAAGATTTCTCTATTTTTTTAAAATAGAATAAGAAATGAATTTTTAGAATTAAATCATTGGTATCATATTTTATATGCATTATAAATATTGATTTTGAAGGTAAATATGAACCTTCGAAAATGAGATTTTAAGATAATTCGAATAACAATACTTAAGAAATCCCTAGGTAAAAAAATTTCTTTAAATGTTGCCAACATATTGAGATATTTTAAGAATTCTTTTAATAACAAGATTCTAATTTATTTTTCTTAAATAAAATAGAATAATAAAAAAATCAAAATTATTGCAAACAAAGGGAGTCAAGAAAATTATTTTTAAATACTAAATTCAAGATCATTTTTGTCAAAAATAAAAAAAATAGCACATAATTAATTAATATCTTTTTTAAAATAGGCATTGTAAGGGTACTAATCTTTATCCACATGTAACCGTACTCTCGAACCTGACTTTTTTTTTGCAAACCCCAAAAATTATCTTTTTTATAAAGTTTTAATTGATTTCAAGATTTTATTAAAAAGGTAAGTTTTAATAAGTGGCTAATCTCACTAAGCCAAAAAAAGATTGGTGACGACTCCATATGTTTTAAAATTCATCTGGTGAACCTAAAATTGTTACGACATTAATTATTGTTTCAAAAATTGTCAACTTGTCGTGCAATTCTTCTGAAGATATTGCATTTTCCTTTACTCTTATTGCTATTAAAATTTCTCTGAATTCCATGCTTAGACCATTAAAAATTAAGATTATGAGATCATTTTTTGCTATTGGCACGTGGGCTAAAGTTAACTTATCTACAATACTTTTCATAGCTTGCACATATTCTATTATAGACTTACTCCCTTGTATGGACAATGATAATTTCTTTTTTAGTGACATCACTCTTGATCTATTTTACTTACAAATAAAATTTGTAAATTTTGTCATGTCATTGCTTTATGAGATAACTTGGTAGTGGCCATCATAGGTATCATTGATTCAATGACAGATGATACAAGGGCATGCAGAATAAGTTTGTTTTGTCTAATCCATTTGGTGTATTTTGGATTTGGGGTTGTTTTGTCTTAAATAGTGATGACTAGGGGCTAGACATAGATATATGCCATTGACATATCTTATTAAGTCAAGGCCAACCAATAAAGTATCAAATTGTAGGTGTTAGGATGGGAAATTGTTGCTGTTTAATTTTAAAAAGAGTTGAATGCTTGAGTTTATTTAAAAAAAATTTAGGTTTTGTGGTGTTAGCAACAAAAATGTTAGTTGTCATTTGATTGAAAAAGAGTTGTTAAACTTAGAGAGGCTTTGATACCATATAAAGATAGTATGAAATGAAGGAAGAATTCAATGTTTCATTTCTCTAGGATACATGTATATACACTTGAGTTCAGAGATAGGTTTGATCTTATCTCCTATTCAAGATTGAATCATAATCTTGTAATTTCTATTTAAGCTACAATAAAGAATAGATTGAATTACATTTCAAATAGCTTAAACTGCTTAGTTAACTACATATAAGATTTTCAAGTTGCTGAGCTGATATTGGTAGCTTAATTTGATCTTCAAGCATATGTTGCTAAGAGTGACCTTTTTGTTTAGATAATGATATAGTTGAGATTGCAATTGTTGAGTTCTTGAATTTATTATTGTAGTTGATACAACTATTGTTACACCCTTGATATGATCATGTAGCTAGTGATGCAGTTGGGAGAATGTCTATCTGTTAATGTTGTTATTGCTGTATAAGTTTAGTAGAAGTTGTGGAATAAAGAGGCGAAAATGTGAAATAATAAGTTTTTTTAGATATATTTGGTTATTTGTTTGATTATTTCATTAATTTGGTTCGAAAGTTGAATTAATAAAAAATTAAAATTAATTCAAAATTATTTTTAAAAATAAATTAAAATTAATTTGATAATCGATTAATTAATCGAATTAAATCGATTCAGTCAATTAATTCAGTTAAAATCGAATTTCAAATATCTATTTTAAACTATCAAAAATTAAAAATTATTCATAAAAATAATTAATACATATACAAAAAATTATTTTTATTAGAAACAAAACATATCAATTATTAAAATGATGATATTTTTTTAAAAAAGAATTGAAACTCTAAAAAATTAAAAGGAAAAGAAAAAAAAAAACCACCCGCACGTGCAAGAGTTGTAAACTGCTATTGTTCAGTGTTTAGCGAAGTTCGCATTGGATAACGTAAGCACAGAAAAAGACGGGACACGTTAGTCAAGGTGGGAAAAGCCATGGTTATTACGGGAAACGCAAAAACTATTCCAATTTTCGTAAATACTTTTTTTTGTCCAAAATGACAAAAAGAGAAAAAAATGTCAAGGAAAAGAGTTTATATGTGAAATAATAAAAATGAAAAAGCAAAAAATAAAAAATAAAAACTAGTAGATGAAATTCCTCTGAAAGAACCACAGTAGCAGCAGCTTTAAAGGGACAGAGGGAAACAAGAAACGAAATTTCTCTTTTCTCTGTAAATTTCTAGTTTTTAAGATTCGATCCCAGCTATTCTTTTTCTTTTCTTTTTTTTTTTTGTCTCTCTGTTAATCAACAATGAGCGATCAATTAGAGGAATCGCCTCTCATGGCTCCCCCACCGATAACCGAGCCCAGCGAGATCGACCTCGAGGCCGGCCCTGCCGATCAAATTCAGTGTCGAATTTGCCTTGAAACCGACGGTACTTTCTAATTTAAACCCTCATTTCTCGAAATTTCGCTTTCTTATTTTTTTAATTAAAAATTTTTGGTTTCACCGATTTTGCTCTGAATTATGCTCTTTTTGCTTATTTCTACACATTAACTCGACAAAATTCCGGTCAATCCAATAAACTCTATAATTTGTTTTTCAAAATTAAGTTACGTGCACCGCTCTAGTATTACAAGTTCAATTTTTTTGGGTTACGGAACTGATTGGATTATTAACCGAATTTAGAGAGGAAAATAATAGCAGTTTTTATTTTAAATTCCAGTATTTATTATTTTAAAAAATATATTTTGAATAAGGAATTCCTACGCAATAATGTTTAATAAATCATAAAAAAACTCAAGTATTGCTGCCAATTATGATTTTGACGGAACTTGTGCTAATAGTTCAATGTGCAATGGTTTTCCTCAGGTAGAGATTTTATTGCTCCTTGCAAGTGCAAAGGAACCTCAAAATATGTACACCGCGAATGCTTAGATCATTGGCGAGCTGTAAAGGTATTGATATTAATACCCATTTTCTTCCTTTCCTCATTTGAGAATTCAGGTGCATTATGCTATACTTGTACTATGTTTCCTTGGTGAGCCTAGGAATGGGTTTATATATATATATATATATATATATATATATATTATTGCTTAGGCTAAATTGCACTGTTGGAGTGTTAGTTTTATGATGTTAATTGTTCTCATAATTTTGATATAATTTCTTTATTCTGCCTGTTTCTTCTAAGAAGTAAAAATTAGACAACTATACAACTTAAAAAAGATTACATATGAGCTACATTAGTTCTTTGTTCAGTAATGGAGACAAAAAGCATTGTTTTTGCCTTATAAATTCCCCATAAATGCAAGTTTACTTCAGTTGACTTAGAGAGAGCCTTTTCCTAGTTTTTTTCATCCCAATGTTTGTCTATAGTAATTAATATAACTCTTCCATGCCACATTTTGTATATTTTATTAACAGAAACTGATAAAGGGTAACATTGGATCAATGGTAAATTCATAGATGAAAAGTTGGGGACAAATTCTAATTCATTTAAAATCTGGTTTAGCTTAATATGGTTAGCTATCAGCTTCATTCTATATCGAAATTCATTATATTTCATGAGGATTGTGATTTCACACTGAATGGCATTCAATCCCCCCCCCCCCCCCCCAATCTAATGTTGTCAATTGGCCTTCATCAAAGGCAAAGACATACAGGATACAATTGTTCGTCTATTCTGTAAAGTTGTCCTATCAGTGGTTCAGTACCTTGTTGCTGACTTACTTTCCAATGCTTAAGTTCAATTTAATCTAATGAGCATACAGGAAGAAATGGTTTCAGTTTTTCCCATTTATTTTGATTGTGTTTGTTACTTTGATAGCTTCCAATGCAGTTTAGATTGGAAAGTGTTCCTAACAGGAATTTGGAAAACTTTGTGCAGTATACCTTGGACTTACCTCAAATAAAGCATATAACTCCAAACATGAGTAATCAAGTCAAAGTCAAGTATGATATACCAAAATGTAATAGAATTTCGAGAAATGTAGCTGTATTAGATTTTCTCTGACATTGGTATCTGTCTAAATAGCCTAATAGTTGAACATACTTCACTTTAAGACTGATGTTCTTGGATATCCCTTGGCAAAAACCAGAGAAAAAGTTCTGAAATAAATGGTTTGAACAGTTATAGAAGATTTACAACAATCAACAAAGCAAGCATTGTGATATGAAATTAATTCTTTTAGTTATGGTATTCATTATTCTATGTTGCTTATCTTCTTGAAGACTACCTACATAAAAGGATGACCAGAGCATAGGACAATGTTGGTTTTAATTGGTTATGTCTATGCGCACACACATGCATAGACTGATATCCAGTAATCAGGAGGGAATTGGACGTTGGTGTTAGCTTGTTTGTGTGTTTTTCATAGGCATCACACTATTTTGCTGTTTCCTAGCTGCCATATATCATAAAGTCTAGTTTGTTTTTTTTTTGCAGGAAGGGTTTGCATTTGCTCATTGCACAACCTGTAAAGCTCCTTATCATTTGAGAGTTCATGTTGCAGCTGATAGGAAATGGCGAACCTTGAAATTCCGATTTTTTGTGACTAGAGACATTTTATCCATATTTCTGGCTGTTCAACTGGTATGTAGTCAGTCATTGATTGTTAGTTCTGGCATTTTAGTTTACTTCTCCTATTGTAAATATGTTTCTTAGGTATAATGCCTGGTTCTTTTGTTCATTGTGTTCAGGTCATTGCTTCACTGGCATATTTGGTGTATTTAATTGATGGGTACCAGCAGTCATGGCTCCGTCTTACATGGGGTTTTGATAGTGAGCTTAGTTTCTATTACATATGTGGTAAAAGCTCAAGAACCTGAAGTGATATCTTGATTAAGTTTCTTACAAACGATACAGTTTGTTTTAGTTTCCTTGTTAATCATTTTTTGGGTTATGGATTGATATATGGAAAAGAATGGCTTTGCTGTATCTCAATTTGATCCCTGATTGTTTTAAAAATATCTTTTAAAAAATTGTTAATTAATGCAACAGAGCAAAGCAACTGGAGTAATATTTCACAAACTCTTATCATATGGGACATTGTTGCTTCCCTTAGAAAACTTTGGAATGCTTTTCTTATGGAATTAACCATCATGTTCCCTTGGTTTTAGAAATAAACTTATGGTAGTTCCCAATGTGTGAATGCTAAACTTAGCAATGATAAGGTAAGCTTTATCGATTGAGTTTTTCAACCAAGGAAAGAAGCTTTATAGGTTGAGTATCTCAACCAATAAAGAAAGCTTTATAGTTTTGAGGATCTCAACCGAGAAAGTTTTATAGGTTGAGTTTTTCAATCAAGGAAAGAAATTTTATAGGTTGAGTATCAACCAATAAAGAAAGCTTTATAGGTTAGACTATGTTCAATGTTAAATGTGAAAGTCTAAGCTTTTCGAATTAGCAATATATTAAACTTGAAAATTTTAGCCTTTGAGAAATTTTCAAACTTCGATTAAGTTATACAAGTTAGTAAGCTTAAAAGGCTTGAACCATATAAAAAGTTTAGCCTTTGGCCAAAGTTGATAGTGAAAACATAGGGACATTCTTACATTTATTAGAAAGCATTTGCCAAGAAAAGCTAAGATATCTACTAGGTTATATAAGTCATCCAAGGAGAACTAAGAAGGATATTGTCTTTGATTAAGTGGTGTTTCTCAAAGAAATAAGAAGGTAAGGTTGGACTGCATTTACTGTCTAAAGAAAGACAAAGGCAACAACAAGCTAAATAGAATGAGCTAGGAAAGCTAAGCTTGAAAATTTCAAGTGTCAACATTACTATCTTACCTTCCTAAACATTACTTGCTTTCATTGTACTCAACCTAAATAGCTTCATTGCTGTGTTAGGATACTCAACCTATAAAGCTTCTTTTCTTGGTTGAGACACTCAACTTGTAAAACTTTTTTCCTTGGTTGAAATATTAAACCTATAAAGTTTCTTTCCTGTTGAAATGCTCAACCTATAAAGCTTCTTTTCTTAGTTGAGATATTCAACCTATAAAGCTTCCTTTCTTAGTTGAAATACTCAAGATATAAAGCTTCTTTCCTCAGTTCAAAAACTCAATCTATAAAAATTTTCCTTGGTTGAAATACACAATCTATAAAGCCTCTTATCTTTGGTTGAAAAACTCAAATCTATAAAGATTTCTTCCTTGATTGAGATCCTGAACTTATAAGCTTCTTTCCTTGGGCAAAATACTCAACCTATGAAGCTTCCTTCTTTGGTTGAATAATCTAACCAAGGACAAATATTAACAATTTATTATTGTTGGTTAAGATACCTTCCCACTTTATTAATAAAAATTTAGAATTTAACTTCATGTTATTTTAATCAAACATTTTAGGTGAAAGTTTATCTCATCATTTAATTTACAATTGATAATGATTAATTGCTTGATTAATTTCATATCTTAACCAAATTAGAAATTTTAATTGATTAATTTTTGCCATGTTGAAAATGAATCTCAACACCATGTTAAAGCATCTGTAGATTTCATTGCAGAGGCACAAGAATCCCCCTCATGATGTTTAATGCTGAAAACTTTGAGTTTACTGCAGAGAAAATGAAAAAAATTGTAAAAGCATTTAGGAAGTTTATGAAATATCTTTTGGAATTGAGCTCAAAGTGGTGGAAAAGGCCTCATTTAGGTCTTTAGTGATAAATAGTAATTTCATATATGTAAAAGACTAAAAATTTCATTTATGACCTTAGTTTTTGGAAGTTACTATCAATTTTCATGGTGTGAAGCTTTCTTCCCTAAATTTTGATTTCTTCTCTAAGTTGGTTAAAGTACCAAAGTGAACAAAATTTAGATTGCCTGTTGTTTTCATGGTCTTTTACATGACACCTAGTCATTTTCCAAAACTTGCTGCGTATTTCTTTCTTTGAAATTTGCCAAACACTGCTGGGTAAATTTGACTAGATTGCTTCAAGAAAATTTTCATTTATCTGGTTTTCATACTTTAATAATATTCATTATCCAAGCTTGGATGCTGTCTCTGTTGCTGATAGTTAACAAAATGATTGTTGAATGCAGGAGCATTACTATTTTTTGCTTTGCTGGGGCTATCTGGGTGCTTTATTACATGCTATGATCGAAGAGTGCGTAATGATTTGGCTCAGCCTTGTCGAGAATTATGTCTCTGTTGCTGTCAGCCGGGGTATAACTCTACTTGTAAACTTTGATGGATGTTGTTGAATTATACTGACAGTTTGATATATCGTATTCATCATTACTTTACTAAAAGTTTGTCAATTTCATATTGTTGTTATACTAAAGGAGAATGCGTACATCACTTAAACAGGTCAACTGCTGCGATTTATCATCATCTCCCTCATCTTCTCTTTCTCTTCCTTCTACCCCTCTTCTACCAAATTTGTCTCATGATTGGTAAATCAGAATTCATTTCATGTTTATCTCTATCGTTACACCTCCATATATGTCTGGATATGCTTGTGTGCAAACTTGCACAGAACACATGCACAAATATGTGTAAAGAAAGTGGCTATTTGCATCAAATTCTTCGTAATCATCATAATGTGTAAAGCTTTTTGCATGTCTTATACTATGTTCCATCTCTTTAGTCAATTACCCAATACTGTGCAATATGCAATATACTTACTCATTGCGTAGGAACTGGTGGGCTTCCTTTAATCTGAAAGGAAAATGTATGCTCAAACTGCCAATTTTCATATTTGGAGGAATCAAATGATTTTTTTCATCCTCACCCCCTTCCCCCCCCCCCCCCCCCCTTTTCTCTTTGCTAATATATGACATTTGTCATTTATTTGTCCATGGATTCAAGACGAAGAGGAATATTAGCAATCCTTCCTAAGGTAGCAAATAGTTGTTCTCTAACACAGACACAAAAAAAAAAAAAAAAAAACTCTACTTTAACCCTTTCACTGTTTATTATTATTATTATTATTATTTTACATTAACTTCCTCTACCTATGATCAAATCAATGTTTTATTTGTTTATCCTCCTAAGGTTTACTGTGCTGATTATACATGTTTTCAAATTGTAGCATAAAAGATAGCTCAAACTGATGATGTCTTTGGATTTTCTGTCATGTACCTATTACTGTATATCTGATTCATCGGCACTCACCTTTTCCCTCTTCTCTTTGAGACTTGCTACATTATGCATCTTTGGTTTGCTTTCCTTTTTCCTTTTGGGCTTGTTATTTATTTATCTTGTGTGATCTGCACAGTTTAGAAGAGTCTATCCCGAGTTGCAATTCAGGTTTGAAAAGTATATTGGCTTCATTTTTGCTCGTTGTATTATTTACCTAATTCTAAACCTTTCACTTCTCTTCCTCCTTCCCTTTCTGGTGCTCCTCTCATCAGTTAATCTTTTTGTTATGGGGTTGCCATTGTTATTGTTGCTGACACTGGACTGGGTTACTGGGGAAATGGAATATAACTTCAAATGGTCTGAAAATGGTTTTACTAGGATCTGATTTTTTTTAGAGCAGGTTGCATTTGCTTCTTATTTAATTGATATAACAAGCTATTGAAGTGGTGCTATTGATGGTGATTAAGTACATTAAATATTACTGGGGAAATGTAATATAATTTAGATGGTCTGAAAGATTTTTTTAGTAGTTGATGGATACTGGGATCTGATTTATTTTAAAACATGTTGTACTTTCTTCTTATTTCTTTGATATCCTAAGCTATGGAAGTGGTGCTAATGATAGGGATGAAGTACATATATATGTATATATATCATTCACTAATTAATTTATGTGTGTGCTTGTCAAATTATTAATTTTTTTATTTTCTAACTCTTGCAGAATGTGTGCAGACTGCCATTTACCTGGCACTCTTTGTATGTGGACTGACTGTACTGCTTGCTTTGAAAGCTGTGCCAGTGCTGCTACTGAATGTGGTTGCCTAGGAGGTGCTGGTGAAGCAGGGCTGCCATTATTGTTCATAATGGCATTGATTGTGCTTGGACTATTTACTGTGATTGGCATATTTTACAGTGTTTTGGTGGCTACAATGGTTGGACAAAGGATTTGGCAGCGACACTATCATATACTTGCTAAAAGAATGCTAACAAAAGTAGGTTGCATTGACATGTCTTCAGCTTTGATTCATGTACTGCTATATAATTAAGTACAATTCTTTGGGGCATTAGGCCAACTAGGTCCAACTGAACTATTTGAGGAAGTTAATTTCTAGGTGCTAGTTTGTAGATGAATGAGCCACCTCTATACGAAGACATTAAATGGAAAGGACTGAAAATTATCATCTTGTCCCCTATTTGTTTTATGGTTAGTATGTCTATCGATGTAATGGTTTCTATGATGGGACATACAAAAGCTTCGTTTAAGTCTTATTTTAGGGTTGTCAGGAAATTTGGGTGTTTAATAATAAGCATGCTAAATGTGGCAAAAGAAGATACATTACATTTCTATGCCCCTGGCTAGGATACTCATATAATCTATGGTCCCTTTCTACATTTAACTTGTTTCCAGTTCATGTGAAGTATGCCAACAATGCTTAGAGGTCCACATGTGCTGGTTACTATTGTACTGTTCATTTTGCAAAACTAAGATGAAGTAGATTTTGAGAGCATGATGTTCTCCATTCAATTCTCAGCCTTTTTATTGGTTCATCTTTTATTTATTTATAAATTCGGTCCCAAAATATCATTTGAATATGCTGCATCTTTTTTTGTTTCTTTATTTTGTTCAGGTTGTTTCTAAACTGCTATATGGTTTAACATAATTCAGTTTTATGTTTACTATATTAGGAATATGTGGTTGAGGATGTCGATGGTGAAATGACTGGATCTGACTGGTCTCCTCCTTCTCTCCCACCTGAGCATGTCCAGCAGCTGAAAACACTTGGCCTTTTGTGAATTTAATATTATATTTTGTCATTGACAAAAACAAGATAATGTAAAGATGGAGTGGCTGCTTAATTTGGTAGGTCAGTCTTCACTACAGGCTTATGAATCCACTTCTACAAAAACGAGTTTTATGCAGTTATCAAGCAACAAAATTTAAGGTTGTCACTATCATTCAGTTGGAAGTCTGTGAATGATAAGATGTGAGAAGGTCTTAATTGTATTTTTTTTGTTTTCCATATTCTTGCAATGTTTATCTTTAGTTTCAATTCCATGAGTAGGAAAAGTAATAACTGACTATGTATTTCAAAGACAGTCCATGCTAATGGTTTCCTGCCAAATGTTAGTAACCTTATAGAGATCTATTCTTCTTTTCCTGAGAGTGGTTCCTTATGTAACCTACTTCATCCAAATTAGGTGTGTGTTTGCTGGAGGATATCTACTCTCATTGTTAATGCATTAATGAAGCTTGAATGTCCTGCTTTGTATGTTTACTGATACCTTCTCTCTTTTCATTTGTTGTTGTGTGTGTCCAATTTTTCACTGTCTTCCATACTTTTTATAACCGTTTGTACACTTAATGTGTTATATTTTACATAACCCATGTTACCCTGCAGATTGTATGGGCTTTATATAAAGATAAACCTGAAATATAGGCATTTTTCCATGTTTAGAGCTGCTAGAAGGAAAGATTTGGGCACTAAAATGAGTAAGCAACTCCTGATATACGACCCAGAGTTTAGTATTTACTCTTTTTAGTTAGTTTCCGTTGGGTGAATTGCATTGTTTAGGTTTGGTTGATATTTTGCTGCTTGTGCACTGAGAGGACAATTGAATTTGGTTTGGATCTCATCAGAGTTTGGATGCATCGGGTATGGATTCCTGACTTTTTAAGTTAAGTCAGATTGGATTTCGAGTAGTTTAGGCCCGGTTTGGTGGCATTGCTAGTGAAAGCACTTGTAATTGTAGTTCCTACATGTTTTGGTGAATTGAGAACAAATTGATCAAATAAGATTTATTTGCACATAGCACATGGCTATGGTGGATATAGAATTGTTTTGTTTACCAGGATTTAGCTTTAGTTGTGAAGAATTCCATGACGAGAACCCAAAATGCGACTTGTCCAGGTGAATCCCAGGGCATGTGGCCGAAGTGCGGAAAGAAAGGAAATGAGGAGACAAATCTTGTCCCAAAAACTGACAAAAATGACCAAAATGTTGTGGCTGACATGTGCAAACACGCTTCTAATCCATTTCACGACAAAATCAAGAACCTAAAGGACAATGACATTGTAAAATTTAGTTTATGGGACGTTATCATTCTCATATTTTATCTTTAGATTTAATTCACTTTTGGATTTGGTCCAACGAGTTAGGTACAAAATGTTGATTAAGCCCAGCAGTTTTTTGGGAAACAAAAATTAAATCGTTTTTCACTCTCTCAACTAAATTTCTTTATTCACTTAATTTTTCCATCTCAAAAGCACCTTGACAATTGTTCTATTTGGCCTGACTTATGAATCCCACGGCATGTGACCGAACTGCCAAGATGAGGAAGCTAGTCTTCGTCCTAAAAACTAACAAAAGGAAAGAATTTAGAGTCGAAGGGTTAAAAAATATTATACAAATTATTATGCATTAGGCTTTATCCATTGTACTATTAATTCAGTTGAGGTTTTTCTATTGTTTTAGGGTAAATTTTTAGCTCTTTTTTATATTTTTAATTAAATTTCAAGTTATAGGATAAAAAGTACAAAAAATAAAAGAATTTTTTTTTAATTTGTTGTGAAGTATAATTTTAATTTATTACTTTTATTTATTTTGTCTTTGTGATGATATCACGGGACGAGTATGATGGCAGAATGGAATCAAAGGGTAAGAAGGTCAAGTTGGCAGCTAAGGTTCGTAAAAGAGGGGAGGTGGGCATGAAGAAATGAGTAGAATTCGAGAAAAATGCTGAAGCACTGCCACCTGGAGAAGGCTAACAACTACTAGACAGTATTAACGGTTTAGTTGAGTTGTCAGCTAGCCAATGATTAGTTGTAAATTTGTTAATGCAGTAGTCAAGATAATAATAATTAGTTGTTTTTATTCAGCAGATCCCTGTAAGTAGGAAATAGAAGCTCCGACATTCATCTATTGAGCTGGCTATATCAGCTATGTACTGGAAATGATTGATTATGAATGAAAAATACTTTATTCATACTTTCTACCTCTCTAAAATTCTCTCTGGTCTCCTTGTTCTATTTCTATTTCCATTTTTGCTAAACCATTCTGTTACAAGTTGGTATCAGAGCAAATTAGATCCACTCACACACTGAGGAAGCACAAGAAACAGCCATCTATGATAGAAGGTACTAGATTGAAGATCCTCCATGAACAGGTCCAAGCTTTGTAAGAACAACTGGAGTCAATAAAGGGTGCTGATAAGGTTGTACCGAGGCGGTAGGAGGAGCAGAGAAAAGGCATTGAAGCACAACTTGCTGAGAATCAAAAGTATATCAATCAAGTCCTTGACCTGCTTAATCCAAAAGGAGCCACTCAAGCCAAACCTGAGTCAGAAATTGTTACTAATACCTAGAGCAACTAACCTTCTCTAACATCCCTGCTCAAGAAAGAAGGTAAGCTTCCTGTTGAAATTACAATAGTAGATAGTCAAGGTAAATACATTTACAAGTCCAATGAACTTGGGTTATTACCTAAAAATCAATTTGAAACCAGTAGTAGGCACCAGGGTTTTAAATAGCGGTGGCATAGCAGTATAGTAGCCCCTATTTCGGGTTGCGCCACCTATCGCTATCGATATTGAAGAAAAAATGAGTGAGAATTTCAATCTCAATCTTAGCAGTCGCAATCGACCATTGCAAAACGGAATAACGGAGAATAGCAGAAATATTGGCCCGTTATTCCCGTTATTCTCACTACTCTGTTTTTCATCCAAAAATGGCAAGAAAATTTTTTGATTTCGTTTGTTCAAAATTAATCCCAAAGAAACCCAAAAAAAAAAACAAAAAAACTCACACAACCAAATTTAGAATTTCAATCTCAATCAACATCAACCAACATAATAAAATTTATTGATTTGAATTTTGAAGCTGCATATATTGCCTTTTTTTGTTGATTTTGTTTCTCTTGAACATTCCGTTCTTGAGTATTTGTCTGGCCATCCATGGTTCTGCAGCTAGGAGCAGGGGGTGGCAAGCTACTTGACTTGCTGAATGCTAGTCCCTGAACTTGGAGGTTAAACTATCGATTAGGAGAGGATGAGATGAGAAGTAGACGGCAAGCTTCTTGCTTGAATCGGAGGTTTTTGCTTTTGAGTTTGAGACATGATGAGAGAGAACATGCAGAGAAAAATAAAGAGTTGAGAAAAAAAAAAAAAAAGGTGAGTGGAGTGAGGGGCTGATGGGCAAGGGGAAGATGGGAGAAAGTAAAAGTGCAACGTGTGTGGATTGTGGGTGACTAGGTGGGTTGGGAATTGGGTGAAGGTCTTGTTGGGCCTGGGGAACGGGGTTGAGATTTTATTGTTTTAGTGGGAAATTTTGATTTAGGAAAATGGATTGAAAATTTTTATTGTTCTAGAGACAATTAATTTATGAGAAAATTTTGAATTGTAATTGAAAAAAATTTTTTTTTTTTGATAATTTCATGTTAGATGTTCAAAACGTGTTTATGATAAAGGAAATTATATTATTAACTTTATATTACTTTATTATAATCTCAAAAATATTATAAATAATTTTTTATCAAGTAAATAAAAGAAATGAAATATTATAAATTATTTTAAAATTAATAAATAATATTTTTTATTATTATAATTATAATTATTTTATTTATAATAAATTTATAAAATTTTAAAAAATTAACGGCTATAATAATCGTAATGATCGTAAGAATTTTTGTTATATTTATAATCGTAATAAATAAACATGACGTGATTAAAAATACGATCATAATTATAATTTAAATCTTTGGTAGTAGCTACCGGCAGGCTAATACAGAACAACTTAACAGTAATGACTTTACTGCTGTGAACCACTTTGCAAATGCTATAAATGACTTTTCACCTAGACCAAAGATTGAGCTACCAATCTTTGATGGAAGCAATCCAAGATGATGGATTAAGAAATGCCAAAAGTATTTTGCACTTTTTTCTATCTTTGACCATCGGAAATTAGAAATAGCTACCATGTATTTGGTTGGTAAGGCAGAAACATGGTTGACGGCTACATTATGCAGAAAAATATTGTGACATGGCCTAAGTTTGCCAATGATTTATGCCAAAGATCTTGTGAGAGGGCTTATTCTGATGTTATTGAAGAGTTTAATAAATTAACTCAGAAAACTAGTGTGGAGGATAACCAAAAGAGGTTTGAAGAACTTAAACCCTACATGTTACAATGCAAAGATTATTTCATATCCAGCTTTGTAAGTGGGCTCAAAAAGGACTTGAATCCTAAAGTCAAAGCTAATGCACCCACTACTCTCATGGCTACTTATAGGCAAGCCAAGTTGCATGAGTTATCTTTGGAGTATGAGAGCAAAACATACAAAACTAACACTAAACCAACGTCCAACCTTAACCTTGGACCCTATCCAAAACTAGTAAACACCTAAACACGACAGCTATTTAAACTAACATCAACCAATCCACCTATGCCTAGTAGACAACTACTCATGGAACAAAGGAGAGCCCAAAATCTCTGCTTTAAATGTGGAGAAAGGTTTAGTCCAGGCCATACTTGTAAGTTTAAGCAACTTAATGCTCTCACTGCATATGAGCTGGAGGAGGAAACTAATGACAGTGGGGATAACACTGGTGAACAGGAAGTGAATGAGGAGCAGGATGACACTTGAGACTTACAAATTTCTATTAATGCTTTCACTGGCAGTGTAGGGCATAGTACTATCAGAATAGAAAGCACCATCAAGGGAAAACCTCGAAATGTCCTTATTGACAGTGGTGGCACCCATAGTTTTATAACCTCAAAATGGGCTACTGGAATAGAGATGGAGAAGACTTGCCCTTTAGCTATCACAATGGCCAATGGTGAAAAACTTTATAGTGCTATCAAATGCAAGGAGCTAACTTAGGTTATGCAGGGACATAACTTCACCCATGATTTGAGGGTTTTGCCAATGGAAGGAAATGACATTGTTCTGGGAATAGACTAGATGAAAAGGTATAGCCTTCTAATGTTTGACTTTAATGAATTGTCTATTACCTTCCGAAAGGATGGCCAACAAGTCATTTTTAAAGGAAAAGAAAGTCAGGCTAATATTAAACTCATCTTTGGAAAGAAGTTAAAGAAGATGGTAGGGAAGGATCCTAATGTAATAGGAAAGCTCTAACATGTTGAGCATAGGTGGTGCAGGGAATG